CTACATCTAAACGCTTGTAGTGCATGTGGTAGAAATTAGAATCCGCATAAATGAGAAGCAAATTCGAGTGATTTTAGAGATTGATGTGTAATTTTTTTAGATATATTTATTTGATTTGGTACATTTACGTCGTTCTTCGGGTGAAGAGGGGGGGGGGCGATAAATACAACCTAACAGTAGTGACTCGTTAAGCTGAGTTAAGTTGAATTTGTTTGATATCAGTAGTTTTAATGGTTTTTTTAATGTACATCGCTACTCTTCCACGTTTGTGTGTACCCCACTATAGAAGTGTTTGGTATGTTAGTAAACCAAGTTTCTGCAATGAATATAGTGAAAGGTTCAATTGAGGTTGTCTTGTTTGGTGTTTTTAGTAAGTTTGGAGCTTAGTTTTTTGACTAATCGTTTCAAATTATAAACAGTAGCAGATTTCGGTTAAAAAAAAAATAAATGCAAATCTAAGCGGATTAAAAAAAGATTTTCGAGATTCAGAGTGATTGTATATGAGTGCAAAAAAAGTTATTATAGAGATCAGTGATTAACACAATAAAACTGAAGTTATTGTTTTCTTTCCTATATGATAAAATGGTCATAATTTTTAAAGACTAAAAGATTATTGTATGAATTTTAAAAATTCTTGATGAATATACAGTATTGGACAAAACATTTGCAACCAACATCGAACAATGCTAAAAAGTGTTCCTAATTTTACATGTCTTAAAAACGAAACGAACTATAACACCACAGCAAACAGTTCAGGAGTCTGGAGTCATAGCATGCCATGACATGAGCAATCAGCTGATAGGTGACAGCACACAGGCAGAATTTCGTTGACAAGTGTCATTTTGCAGCGGACAAAACAAATGCAACTTTTTAGGTTTGTTTCATTTTCTTAGTTCTGGTCCGTGTCAACGTCACGGAAGTTTTTTAATAATTAAAGGAAGTATCCAGTCGTTGTGTTTCACAAAGCATTATTGAATCATCACAAAGTAAATGTAACACGGTAAGCCTTGAGAAGCGTGATTATTTATTTTTATTATTTTTATGACTTCAAGTGCAAAAATGGCTACCGACAGTCTTGGATTGGAACTAAGAAAGAAAATTATTGGCGATTACGTAAGTGGAATGTCACAAAAAAGTATTTGTGATAAATATCGCGTGAAAAAATGGACCGTATCAAGACTATGTTCCAAATATCGTTCTACGGGGAAGTTGGCAGCAGATAACAATGGTGGAAGACCGCGTTCCACCACTTCTAGAGAGGATTCTATGATCGTCAGATCCGTCAAGAAGGATCCCTGGATATCATCAGTCGAGATACAAAAGCATTTAGAGCTGCCTGTATCGGACCGAACAATCAGACAACGTGCTGTTGAAGCCGGATTGTTTTCTCGACGCCCTGCAAAGGAATAACTGATTTCACTAAAGAACCAGAAGAAAAGACACCTGTTTGCTACATCTCATATTGACTGGAATGCGAGAAATGGCAAACTGCTCTGTTCAGTGATGAATCAAAGTTTAACATCATTGGGAGCAATGGCATTTGCTGTGCACTTCGACCGGCCGAAAAACGCCTCGATTTACGTTACTGCCATAAGACCGTGAAGCCTATTGGAGGCAATGTAATGGTCTGGGGATGTTTTTCTGCTAACGGTCTAGGTCCAATACATCGAATCGATGGAATAATGGACCGTTTCATGCATAAAAATATCCTGAAAGATGTTATGTTACCTCATGCTGAATGAAGTATGCTAATAAAATGGGTTTTTCAGCAAGACAACGATCCGAAACACACTGCAAAAGTAGTCAAGCAGTGGTTTATGACGCAAACTTTCCAATTATTGAAAAGACAATAACTCCAAAATATAAAAATAACCCCTGGATAACAAAAGAATTTAAAAAATCATCCAAGATTAAACAGAAGCTGTATATAAAATATCTTAAAACACAATCATTAGATAATGAGAAAATATATAAAAATTACAAATATCTCTTTGAAAAAGTTCGTAAAAATTTGAAAAAACTTTTTATGAATTCGAAAAAGCATTCAAATCTCTTAAAAAAAACAAAGCAAACGGAGCAGATGACATAAACGGTAATATAGTTATAGAATGTTTTGAACAATTAAAAGATATACTTTTTAAGGTTTATGGAGCATCTATTCACCAAGGAGTTTTTCCGGATCAATTAAAAATTGCTAAAATTACCCCAATTTTAAAAGAGGGAGATCAAACAAATATCAGTAATTATCGTCCTATCTCCGTCCTCTGCACATTCTCAAAAATACTAGAACGCATTATGTATAATAGATTATACAATTATCTCCTTTCTAATAATTTGTTATACGCCAACCAGTTTGGTTTTAAAAAAAATAATTCGACGGAACATGCAATTATCCAACTTTTACGTGAAATTTCAAATTCTTTTGAAAAATCTAAATTTATATTAGGTGTTTTTATCGACCTATCGAAGGCGTTCGATACTGTAGATCATGAAATTTTGATACAAAAACTGAAATACTATGGAATAAATTACAAAGTTATAAAATGGTTCCGAAGTTATTTATCTAACCGTAAACAATTTGTTTTTAGTAATAGTTGTTATCCAAATGAGTTCCTAAATGTTTCATGTGGCGTTCCCCAAGGTTCCATTTTGGGACCACTGTTGTTCTTGATTTATATAAACGACCTAAATAAAGCCTCAAATTTAATGAGTATAATGTTTGCTGATGACACCAACTTATTTCTTTCCGATAATGATATTTACAAACTCTTTTCTAGTATGAACGATGAACTTAAAAACATATCAAAATGGTTTATATGCAATAAGCTAACTCTTAACAGTAACAAAACAAAATGGATTCTCTTCCATCCAATCGCAAAAAAACCTTATTTACCCCAAAATTTACCAGAAATCTTTATTGATAATGCTGTGATAAAAAGACACTATGTCACAAGGTTTTTGGGTGTTTTTCTTGATGAAAACATCACATGGAAAGCGCATATTGACTATATTAGCACAAAAATTTCTAAAAGCATTGGAATTTTATATAAATCGAGAACATATCTATGTAAAAAAGATTTAACCCAACTATACTACACATTTATTCATACCTATTTAAATTAAGCAAATATTGCTTGGGGAAGCACAGAAAAAAGCAAATTAAAATGTCTTTACCGCCGTCAGAAGCATGCGATCTGTTTAATTAATTTTGCGGATCGATACACTCATTCCAAACCTTTTTTTATTGAAATGAAAATTCTTAATATTTACGAACTTAATGTGTTTAATGTTTTATGCTTTATGTATTTGTGGAAAAATGACTTATCCCTACCTATCTTTAAAGTTCTCTTTTGTGAATAACCAATAAATAAATATACTCTTAGAAATAATAAATTTTTGCATAAACCTTTTTGTCGAACAAAGTTTAACCAGTATGGTATTGCTTATCGTTATCGTTGCTTATCGTGTATGGTATTGCTTATCGTAACCAGTATGGTATTGCTTATAAAGTTGTTTTGCCAAACTTTAATATATTTTACACTTTTCCAATTTTTAAACATAAACTCAAAAATTTTATTTTATTTTCCGATGACATAATAAGGTTCTTCTAATTGTAATTATGTACCTTTATTTAGAACTTTTTAATTGTAAAATACATTTTATGTTAATTGTAAAATACGTTATATGTAACGACTCTTTTTGTTTTACTTTTCTTTTTGTTTTACTTTTTATATGTAACGACTCTTTTTGCTTTACTTTTTATCTTTTTGTTTTACTATTTACTTTTACTGTTTATTTTATAAATAGATTATATACATTGTAAATAATTATGCTAAATGCTTGTAAAAGGTTCTGATGATAAGATCAGTACGATCTTCTTTCAGAAACCTTGTTTGTATTTGTTAAAGTATTATATTACGACAAATGTAAACTTAAAATGTAAAAAAAAAAAAAAAAAAAAAGGTTTCAAGACAACCACCTATCGGCGATGGATTGGCCGCCTCAATCTCCGGATCTCAACCCTATAAAGAACGTGTGGGAGATCGTCAATCGCAGAATTATTCGTGAATGTGTTCGTAATAAGGATCAACTGTTTGAACAAATCCAAAAGGCCTGGGCAGCGATTCCACAAAGTTTCATTAATCACCTGATGGAATCTATGCCTCGAAGATGCAAGGCTGTGATCGACAACAAAGGATTCGCCACGAAATGTTGATAGCGAAATACAGCTTGGTCAACATTTTGTGGAGTTGCACTTGTTTTGTCCAGAAGGAAATCAACTTTTTTTAATACTTTTGATTAATTTATTAATTTTCGTGTACAAATAATGAACTGATGAATAAAACTTGAAGAACGTTGTCTCTTAACAGTTACATAGTTATTTCTCTAAATTGAAAAAGTGCAGCGCTTTTATATAAAGAAACTAAATTAGCATTATTTGGTTGCACTTGTTTTGTCCGATACTGTAAGTTTAGTTCAGAATAGTAATAAAAGTATTTTATAAACTTTAAAAATTTAGTTGATAGTAAAAAAAAAATTTTTTATCAATTTGGCGCTCTCACGTTTGAAGCAGGTGTAGCGAAAATTTTAAAGTTTTTTTCTTCCGATGGCCAGGTCCATCGCAATTTTTTGCAAAGCATCTTTATTTAACTTATGTATAGAACTATGTTTGAAGTTGGCTCCAAGCTTGAAGTTAGATTTCAAACATCAAAAACTGCTGCGTCCGCCCCTGAATGTAATGGATAAAGTTCAGCATAGAATGATGTGATACCATTTTTTAAGAAAACTCTATTATGAAAGATAGTAAATATTAGAAAAATCGACTTTAAAAGAAAGAAGAGAATGATATGTTTCAAGTATTTAATATGATAACTATGGAAAAAAATTTAACTAATAAATAAGCCAATTATAGAAGGTCACACATTGAAGTATGAAAGAGAAAGAGTTTATTTAACTTCTCATTAAATCCGCTCAGAAAAATTATAAAAACTAGTAAAAAATTTTCAAATTATTTTAAACTCATTCAATCAAAATCTGTAATACATTTTATAAATATTTACAGCATATCTTATGAATATTATTCATAAACATATATTTTAATGTTTTGTGCAGAAAAAAACTCGTCCAATAAACCATGTTTGTCGCTAAAACGTTTCAGATGTTTTGTAATATATATATTTTACTACCGATCAAAATCTTGTTAATGAATATTTTGCGACAGCAGACATTTTTTTTTTAATGTTGCATTCTATAAATGTTGCATCATTTTCAAGCTTTTCTTTCACCTTTAGATTGAAACTTTTTCCCTTTTTTAAATTTGTTATTGTTTTTTCTATCCTTAAAACTGTTGAAACCATGTTTTTGACCATAAACATTTTTCACTCGCTTTGGAGGTTTTGCTTTGACAACTTTTTTATTTTCATTCGCTTCATTTGACTCCAAAAAAATTTCACTCTAAAATTGAAAATTAAGAAGAAAAAAATATTGAAATTGATAACCAATCCATATTTTAAATAATTAAGTATGTCTCTCAAAGAAACATAAAATGGCCATTTAGGGTTAAAAAATTTTTTTTTTTCAAATAATTAGCCATAATATAGATATAAGAAATAACTTTTTGTTAATTCAACAAAAGTTTACCTCATTATTGGTTACGATAAGCCCTGTATCTGAAAAATTAATGTCTGATTTTATAAGAACTTCATGACTGCCAAAATCAACTTTGTCAACTGTTGAATCTAAGGCCAAACTGTCAGATGGCATCTCTATATAATACAATAATTTAAAAGCTAATGTTAAAACTTCAAAAATTCTGTGTAAATACAAAAAAAAGGTGACTTGGGACAGACTACATAATGTTTGGGAAAAAATGCGCTGGCTGCATTATAACTCTTTTCTCAAACTAAAATGTAAATATCTTGTGTTTTGGGCGTTAAAAAATCAACGACATAATATAGATAAACAAAAATTGGTAGATATAATGTAAATAAATAAAAATTATTTTTTTCTTCCTTCTATTCTAGCATTTTACATTTTACACTTTTAAAAACTTTTAAGTCTTTTTAAAATTTCTCCAGTTTTTATAAACTATGTTGATATACAAATGGTAAAACAAATAAAAAATACTAATACAAATTATTTAAACAAAAACGAAAACACGAACCCAATAGAACTTTAAATAAATTTGCTTCAAACGTGCATGCGGTGTTGATTTCATACTTAAATGAAAGTTTGTGATAGGGATATGGGGTGCCTTATATTAACTTATTATAGAAACTTATTCCCTTTTCTTTATTTTTTAAGACTTTTTTTTTGGGTTGACGAATTGTGTTTATCTTTAGAGCCTTTCATCAGAGAGTGCCACAAATTAAATCTAACGGGCTGTTTATATGGATCGGGTTAGCTCTATCACTTGGGATGTATCACCTCGGTGAGATGAATATTGTAACTAAGGTTATATGGATTTTTTCTAATCTGCTAAACCGGGATAAAATATCTGTTTACATCACGTGCCCAGTTAAAAAAATTAAAAGCTGAAAAATGGATTCCTTACCATTACATAAACAAATTCTTACATTTATAACTTTAAAATGATCAATAAACAAGCTATTAATATTCAAATTCATTTTTTACAATTTACAATTAACAATAACTATTGACTATTAAAAAGAAAAGGGATTTTGATTAGTTATTAATTCTTGATTTATTGAGTTTTAGGCGTCGTATATTAAGAAGATTGAGATTAGATAAAAACATGAAAAAAAGAAGATACTGGTTCTATTTTAGACGCACAGATTTGTGGTGGCAAAATCTCATATTAAATTAATCAATATATTGCACCTGAAGAATCTTATAAAAAAAACTTTCGATTAGGTAAAATTTCCTTTTTTGTCTCCCTTCTTGAATATTATATATATCTAGATTCTTACTCACCAAATATAAGAGCAATCACACCAGATAAAATATAAGAGCAATCACACCAGATAAAATATAAGAGCAATCACACCAGATAAAATATAAGAGCAATCACACCAGATAAAATATAAGAGCAATCACACCAGATAAAATATAAGAGCAATCACACCAGATAAAATATAAGAGCAATCACACCAGATAAAAAAGTTGCTAGAACGCTTTACTATTTAAAAGACAGTGGTACATTGAACATGACAGCAAAAACTTTAGGAATTTTTTTTTTAATTCTGATTCATTCCCAACAAGGCTGCAAGCAACCACTATTAAGTTAAATACACAATCGATTGCATATAAATTTTCCATGAAAGGTTAGTGGTAAATGATAATCCAAGAAGAAGTAAAAAAGAGGACTCGGTGAGAAGGAATTAAAGAAGACATAAAGAAGAAAGGATGTAAAGAAAAAGACTTGGTGAGAGGGAGAGGGAAACAGTGATTCAGTGAGAATTGCAGTTTGTACTACTTCAGCAGTCATTTTTGAAGTTTGTAATGCTATAGTAAAGTAATTAGGACCAAGATTTGTTTATTTACCATAAATAAACAGCAATGAGAGAAAAAATATCTGAGTTTGAGTCAAAGTTTGGGATGATTCAAGCCTTTGGTTGTATTGATAGAACTCAAATTCCCATTGTTTGTCCAACTAATCATTCTTAAGATTATTTTTGTTACAAACATTTTCAAGCAAACAGGCTCAAGCAGTTTGTGATTACAAAGGCAGTTTTTTGGATGTTGAATGTATGTGACTTGGAAGTGTGCATGACGCTAAAGTCTTTTTAAATTCTTCTATAACTACTAATTTGAGATGTTCAAGACTACCAGGTACCTTTCAAACTATCACTAAGAGCAAAATAAAAGTTCCTTGCTACTTAATTGGAGATCCTGCATATCCACTATTCCACATTGTATGAAAGAATATAGTACACGCAAGAAAAATTCATTTTTAACAGTATCTTGAGAACTACACTTTCAACCCTATAGAATGTGCTTTTGGTTGACTTAAAGCACATTGGAATGTGCTTTTGGTTGACTCAAAGCACATTGGAATGTGCTTTTGGTTGACTTAAAGCACATTGGAATGTGCTTTTGGTTGATTTAAAGCACATTGGAAAATTTTGACAAAAAAAATGAATCTAAAACTTGAAAAAATTCCAGCAGTAATTGATGCATGTTTTATTTTACATAACTTTTGTGCATGACACAATATCTGTATTGATGAAGACTTAGTAAAAATACAAGTTGAGGTAATAAATGAAAATGAAAGAAATTTTAAAAATTTACCAGATCAAATTTTTTCTTGTATTGGCGGTAAAGATGAAGTTATTTGCAAAGCATGAACTGAGTATATTAATGAAAACTATGTTCAAAAGTAAACTGTTTACATAGAATAAAATCAAATATAACAAAAAACTAATTTTTTAATAAAATAAAGTTTTTTATATTTTTGTTCCAGTTTTATTATGATTTTGTGTTTGACAAGTTATTGTTGAACATGTTTAAAAAGATAAAATTTATTACTGTAATAAAACAGTGAATTTTAATTATAAGCTTTCTCAACTTTATTTGTAAATATTTTTAAAAAGGTTTCCTGAAGATTTTTAATCACTAAAAAATATATCTATGACTTTAGACTTTTGCTTACATGTCTAATAAAGGTAAATAACAACTAGTTAAGCTTGTTTATTTTTATCGCCAACTTTTTATGGTTATTACTTTTCTGAACCCAAATAGGTTGAAAAGTAGTTGTTTTGATAAATAAAATGCTGAGGTGTAAGAGTTTGAATAGCAGATGTTTGTTGTTGGGAGATTAGTGTTCTGGAGAGTAATTCCATAGAGAAACACAAACCCTTGCTTAGGTCACTATTTGATTTACTGATATCTTTTATGCAATCAGAAAAAGATTCATTGGATTTTTTTATGGCTTTAGTTAGACTTTGCAAAACTCTCCATCACTTTTTATTTTGAATTTCTTTTTTTTTTAAAGTTTATCTCTCTGTGCTGCAGAAAGACTTTTGTCAATAATTTTTGGAACGTTTTTCTTTTTTTTTTGTTTTAGTTCATTTTCATTATCGCTACAGTCAGAAATATCCTCATGATCACTGATTGCATTTTCAATATTATATAAAGTTAACTTTTCACTACTTGAAATACCAAATGGGAATGGCTTACTATTAGCTGAACCACCCGATATTTAGACAAGATTATCATAGTGTTTAAAAACAATTTTCCGACTGCCAGTTCAACCCAGACACTACAGCTTTAGAACTTGTCTAATTTCATTTTTTTTTTCCTGGATTCTTTTTTTCCTCTAGAAATTAACTTTTTTTTCAGACTAAAGTCTGTTTTAAGGAGGGCTTGGTCTTGACTAGATAGTTGTTTAAAATTTTACGGTAAATTTGGAATGTCTGATTCTAAATCAAACAAGTTCTCATTGACATATTAATTTGCCATATCCTTTCTGATACAAGAATACTGTGCTTGTTTACCAGCGTCAAAGTCTAAATTTTTAAACATCATAGAGGATTTATATGCCAATATAGACTCTATTAAATCTTCTACTATTTTTGTACTTTATTTAAAATGCTAGTTTAAACTTTAAGAAACTTTTTTAGTTTTATTTTTATATTCGTCAGAATGTTTGCTTAATCTTCCAAAGGTATCATTTGCTTTTTTATTTTCTTGAGAATTTAATTCTTGTATTACAACTTTGTCAGAATGTTTGCTTAAACTTCTAAAGGTATCATTCGCTTTTTTACTTTCTTGAGAATTTAATTCTTCTATTACAACTTTGACAGAATGATTGCTTAAACTTCCACAATTTGTTTCATTATTTTCTTTATAATAAAATTCAAGGATTTCACTTTTGTCAGACATTTTTAAAGATTATTAAACAAAAAAAAAACATCAAAAAAACAAATAAATCAAACTTTTAGAGCATCACTATCTTTTTGCTTTACAAAAAAAATAGTTAAAAAAAAAGATTTTAGTCACAATAGATTTCCATACAGTTTATATTTTTCAGAATCTATAGACTTTTATTGAATTTAATCATTAGACATTAATTGAAAAAAAGGCTTTTGAGGTAAGTTGGTAAAATTTTTAAAGGGCTGATTGACTCATAGTATTTACTTATCTAAATTTTAGAAAAATTATATATATATATTTTAATTTGTAACAATATTAAGAAAATATATTTTCTACAAAAAGATTAAAATTGTTTATTTTTTTATGAAAAAATTCATTTTTTAATGATGCAATTTTGATTCCTTAAATATCAGATCAAACAAAAAGCTTAAATCATAAACCATCATTCAGTAATGTTAAATACAAAAAGTCCCCTACATCTAAACTATGTCTAGGATTTGAAAAACAATTATAACAAAACCCCTATATTAATATGGTCTATTCTAAAGTCTGAACCCCCATACTCAAATATTTACAAAAGGTGCCAACTGTCTATATGAGAAATTTGCTATTACATTGTATCCAAAATCTGAGAAATTGCTAAAAAAAGAACTGAAATTATATCAAAGAAAGAACTGAAATTATATATTTATATAATATATATATATATATATATATATATATATATATATATATATATATATATATATATATATAAAAAGAACTGAAATTATATCAAAGGGCCGCCACAAAAACGAATTCTTACTACAATATTAAAAAGCTCACTACAAACTCAACTAACAACTAACAATAACAATATTACCCTACTTCATATATCTCTAGGCTAACTAATAAATTACTCACATGCACAGCTATTGTAATATATTTCATATTATTTATATTTTTATATCAATTTTGAATTTATTATTTTTTAATATATAAATAATGCACATTATCACATAAACATATATTTTAAACAAGTATTAAAACATATAACTATTTCACAACTATTAGCTAATTAAAAACAAATTAATAATAGCATTAACCTAACTAATATACAATCGCTGTCCCATAACGATCTAAAATACAAATATAAATTGTAACAAATTCTAATAAAATTAAATTTTTACTACTAGCCTGAAGATTGTGGTAATACATAAAACTCAGAGTTGCAACATTAAATTATATTAAATTATATTATAAACATTAGCATTTAGCTAATTTCTGGTACTATGGGCAACAATAACATATATATTATTAGCTCTAGTTTATCTATTAAGCATTCTTTTAAGTATACAATATTATACATGATGATATAAAGATATTTTCTGTATTCATATATATATACACTTATGCATATATATATATATATATATATATATATATATATATATATATATATATATATATATATATATATATATATATATATACATATATATATATATATATATATATATATATATATATATATATATATATATATATATATATATATATATATATATATATATATATATAGATGAAATAAATTAGACGGCTATTTTTTAGTATTCGTTTTTTTTTGAGAAGTGAATTGAAGCTAGGGAAGCCAAAGTTATGCACTCAATAACAATATCAACACACACACATACAAACATAATATGAGGTAGACAGAAAACTTATACACTTGAAATACACATTAAAATTTATACACTTGAGGTAGAAAGAAAAAATTTATAGTGAATATTATTAGTATAAAAATAGAAGTACTATTAGACGAACCTCTTCATTACTATGTATCCAGACAAATGCTGAAATTTGAACATTTTTAATGTGACAGAAATCTGTGAGCTCTAAAAATATTCCTCATTAGTTTCAGGCAGAGAGCTTTATTTTTGCAAAAATCAGAGTTTCTCATGATTTTTGCAAAAATAAAGCTGAAAGCATATCTTATATATCAGTGAATCACTTGGATACAAAAACGCAGAACAAGTAGCATCTGGATGGCTAAAATGTAAAATGGAATGTGAAAAAAGTTGTAAGTAGAGAGTTCATGTTGTTTACAGATGGAAATCTCTGTTACAGTTGGAGTAGATGAAAATAAGTTGAAAATCAAATTCTAAACTATTGAGGAGCTTTCGAATGTATTACAGCTTTCTGGTGTAGAACCAACTTTCTGGAATGTATTACAGCTTTACTGGTGTAGAACCAAGCATTAAATTAAATTAACTGCCTAAAACTCTAGATAATTTATATGTAATCTATATCTATATGTAATCTAAATCTAGTATTAATTAGTAATAATTTATATGTAATCTATATCTAGATAATTTATATGTAAAAACAGATCTTTTTGACAGTGATCAGATAGTTGTAAAAGACAAAAAAAGTTTATGCAGAAAATACAACAGAGTTTATCAAATTTATAAATAAGAAAAGAGGTATTGATAGCCCTAATTTATAAATAAGAAAAGAGGTATTGATAGCCCTAATTTATAAATAAGAAAAGAGGTTCCATTGATAGCCCTAATTAAATGGTAGGAATATCTATAAATGGTCAAAACTTTATAAAAGTTATCATTAATGCTTTGGTCCAATAAATCATTATTTTTCATCTAAAATATATAAAGATTCTGGTTCAACTATTGCTGGGCTCCATAAACTTATGCGGTGATCAATATGTATGTAATGGAAAAAAAAGATTAAAAATGCAGGAATTCAAAAATGTTATAAATCCTTGTTTAATATACTTAAAAGAAACTTTTCTTGAACACTATTCCTTCGCCTGAGCTCTACACTATGATTGGAATTGTTGATAAACTTTGTAATTTGCTTACACTTGACCAGTTTTCAAAACTGGTTGAAAAAATATTACATTCTAAAAAGAGGGTACCATGGTGTTACTCTCGAGTCCTTAATACAAGGGAGGGGGGGGGGAATAAAAGGATGGGGGTGGGAATTTTAGTCCAGATTTAATAAACAGGGGAGGGGAGTTAACAAAAGGAGAGGGGAGGGAATTTTTCTAA